AAACCACAGCAAAGAGAGAATGTCAATAATGAATCTGAAAATAACAAAGAAGTTAATAAACTATTGCCTTCATCAATAAATATCAATATTTCAACACCAATGATCAATTTTCTGATAATGATCGTGTTAATGATAATCAGGTAAGAACGAAAAACATAAGGAATTTGAAAGTTTCATGTAACTAAGCTAATCTGAAAATCCTATTTTTATTGACAAATCACAAATTTTAGCAAGCTAAAAATAATGAAGAAATGGATGAATATATACACAGTGACCAACCGTTATCCACTCTCAAGAATTCCTGCTAGAAGTTGGTATTTTAAAAAGGGTGAAAGTGGGAAATCAAAGAAATTAAACCGTAAAATGTGACCTAATTATTCAAGTTCGGATGAAGTCGATAAACAAAGTGATAAAAAATTAAAGATTAAAATCAACAAGTGATAAAAGATATGAGACACAACCTGATACATTGGACTCTAATGATAAAGACAGTCAGAATATAAGAAAATTTTCAAAGAAAAAGAAAAAAATCGTGATAAAAAATGCGAGGCTTCATCGGATCCTTTGGGTATTATGTCAAGTTTTTGTTATACTGTATTTTGTATATTATTACTATATAACTATAATTTCTACTTATATATATAAATTATACACTAGAAAAGTCAACACCATATAATACCTCTACTAATGATTCAGTTAAAAATAGAGTGATAAGTTTCAATTATCCAATTGTTGTTATAGAAAAAGAATGAACACATTAGTAGTGGACAGGTAAACTCTAGTAATATAATAAATTTTACTAGTCTGTGTCATTTATTTTGTTATTTTTAAAAGCGAATAGATGAAACAGAGTATGTATCAGCAACTCAATCAGATATTAATATTCAAGTAAGTATTTATAATCAAATTTGACAGATTAAAATAAATTAACAGAGTTTCACTGAATTAATCAATTACAAAGGAATCAACACAACTAAATAGTTATCGAAGTTCAGTTTCTCTTTACTCAGAGAATCAAGTTGAAGGTTTAGTTGATAAAGATAATCAAGCATTACAAGCATTAAAAGTTTAATAAGTCTGTTTAATTTGTATCCTACTTATAGTAAAAGTATGCTATATTTAAAATTAAATATTTGGTATATTTTTACTAAAATACAAATATAATCATAAGTTTTAATTTTGATGTCATTATCTAATATATTTATTTATATACTAAAAGCTTAATTTGGTAAAAATTTAAATATGAATATATTAACTTGACCTATATTTAATATTAATAGGATTTGAATAAAATAAATAAATCTATTGATATCCAAGTTAACGAAGATCCAAAGACAATAACTATCCCAAATAATATACCAAAACCAAAATTTTTAGAGAAATATTTGACAAGTGGATTGAATTTTCATGTTCTTTACTAGTGCCTATGGAAATTGAAGAAGTGACGATATCAAAAGTTAAATTAAAAGTATTTGGAAAAAATCTCAAATAAAGAAAATGATTATCAAAATTCAAGAATTTTATACATCTATACTCTTTGTGAATTAGTGCATATCTCTTAAGTCAACAAAAAGAATAAAGGAACTAAAGAATTCTGATCAATTTTTTATCCCTGGATTTATCACTGTGATTGATCAAGAGACTGGAGAAAAGAGACAAGAAATAAATCCAAAAGCAAATAACTAGAATCATGAATTTGCCAAAGGTGAAAGGATTGCAAGCCGTGTAAATAAAATATTAGTAGAATCGTCCGCAATCTACCATAAAGGTAAACCAGCAATAATCAAAAATGTAATAGTCGCGGCTAGATGTTTATTAATTCTTGTTCAAAGATTGGCCTGGAAAGTGATTTATGATAGCGAATCAATTGACCCACCCAGGCTGCAATACATGTCAAAAAAAGAATAAACCTACCTTACTGAACAAATTGAAGAGAAAGAACAAGCAGGTAATAATGATTATTATAAGTTATCTGATGAAAACTTAAAGGAATTAGAAAAAAGCTTTTAAAGATTATACAGTTCAAAACTTTTATGCAAATTATTCATATATTAAAATTTTTCCTTATGCTTAAATCTTTTATTGAAATTCACATTATGTTCTGCGCTTTCTTTATCTATAAATTTAAATAATTATAAATACATTTTATTAACAATATATACTAATCCAATTTAATAAAACTTGAAGAGAATACATTTTATTCTACTGTTAAATTGTTAAGGTTGATTCTGTATATCTGCCTTTAGGATTATCAGTTATATTCGTGCAAATAGTAGCATTAATTAATAGGGCTAGCTGATATAAAAGAAATAAAGAATTTGATCTGTAACACTGTTAAAGATTTTGGAAAATTAATTTGTAGTTCTGGTAAAATTATGGTTCGGCAAGCGTAACTCAGGTAAAAACAGGCAGAATTAAATTCGTAACTTTGGTAAACATAGCTCTGGAGGATAGAATAATGTATAAAAGTTATGATTTTGATGTATTATATTTATTAGAATCAAGAGTAATTTTGAACTTTTTGTTGTGTGACAAAAGGTTCGAAGTTACTCTTTTGGCTTTAATAAATTTATGCATCAAAAACATAACTTTTGCATAGCACAAAATTGTGTAACTAATCTATTTTTTAATTATTAAAATAAATAGTCAAGAGTATTTTCTTATTTTCGTTACATATGAAATAATTTAAATTCAAAGGAAAAAGTCTCAGACATCTCTAAATGCATCCCTCCTAAAAGCATATTCTCTCCAAATGCATAGTTTTGCCTTGGCTCTAACTTATATGATACTTATAGATTTTTACCTCTCTAAATACAAAACCTCTCTAAATACATACTTTTTTATGGGCCCTCGGCTATGCGTTTAGAGAGGGTTGACTGTATTTAATATTGCAAAAGACTTTATTTATCAATATATGCAGTGGTTCATGTTTGCCGATGACCTAAGTCACAATATTTTATAGATACGAAATTATACGTGATTTGTCAAAACAATAATCAAATATAAATTAAATATATTCTATTTATTCATTTTGTATATTTTTAATCGACCGCAATATATATATAAAAATACATATATATGATAACCAAGAATGATCCCTAATAAACATTCAACAAAAAAAAAAAAAAAATGTATGTCTTCAAATTTTATATTATCACGTTTACCAAGCTTCAGAGGTATATCAAATGGACCTTCTCTAATTTCAACATCTAATGGTAGAACTTGGATTTCAACTCAATATTTCAAATTCAAGTTAATTACAGATGAAAGTATTGATGTAATTGCTAATACGTTTTTACAAGAAATGACGCCAAGCGATCAACCAAGACTTAAATACAATTTTATGTTAGCAGCAATGCATTGCTTACTATATGGACACGTAGGAGATAGAGAGTTGACTATGGTGATGAAGGTCGAACGTGTAGTGAATCTTTATTATGTAGACTTCTTTGATTATGCTAATGGTTTTGATATTGTTCATGTTAGTGTTCGTGATCTAATTGATGAGAATACATGTGTAAGAGAGGCTAGAGCATTACGCTATATTTATACTAATCGTTTTGACATGTATATCAAAGACACTACGCATTACAGACATACACTTGACAAACTTGTTGATCATCTAAAAATTCAAGTAACAAGGTCATTAAGTGGTGGTTGAGAAGTGACGAGTCTTTCGGCTGAGATAAACAATTTATCCTCAACAATTATAACACAATATTACAATTGGGAAGGTGTGTGTCTAGCATCTAAGATTCTAAATAGAAGCAATTATCACCAATTAATTTACGGTTTCGTAACAAAGATTTTTGAACTTGAAAGATTTATATATATTAGTATATATACTGGAAGATGAAATAAATTTAATCGTAAAATTTATAAACAAGAAAAGTGTAAAGTTTATAGTAGTGTTATTCCTATTCCTTATGAATTATGTGAAGATATTTTTTTAAAATTTGCCAAAAACATAGATTTTAAAGGAAGATATATTAAAATGTTTAAAGAAGATAGAGAAAGAATGTTAGATACGATAATGCAGTTTTACAATGAAGAAAAGAAACAGCTAGATGAAGATGCAAATGTAGTAGAAAGCCAAGTAATTAATGACATCAATAAATTTTAAATGTTGTATTATTTGTCTCTTTGTAATTTTTTTATAAAAAATTTTTATACAATAAATTTAAACCTGGAAGAAATATTAAATTTGTGTTTATCAAAAAACTATATATATTTTATATTTATGTCAGGTGACTTAAATTTATAACGTTGATACAAAGAGAAACCTCTAAAATTTTGAAGATTCAGTTTTTTCTATTGTGGCTCTCAAATACTAATACCTGAAAGAAAATTTTCATGTGATTCTATATTTGTTTATATATGCGAGATAAATATCAAAAAGACACGAAAAACTCAGTAGTTTCCAACTACGAAATTGTGGAATTAAAAATTATCATACCAATATTTTGCATAAAAAATATAATCATAAAGAACATAAAAAGAATTATTTCAAAATTCTTAAACGAAATTATTGATATGATACTTGAAAATATTGTTAATTATATTTTTAATTGGCATTGATAGTAAAGTGCTAATTTTGAAAGAATAACATGATTGAAATATTATATACTTGAATAAATTTTTAATAATTACCAATCTTCTAAATCGATTTTGCAACTTTTTATTCTCATTTTCAGAATTGATTGTAGCTTGTAATATTTTCTTGTTATCGGCATGATTTGATGGTTACAGGGTATTAGCGGGATAATAGCAAAAGCATGTGGCCGAAGGCCTCGTGCGTTGCAATTATACCATGATCTGTATATCATACAGATAATGTATATTTATCTGGCAGGTTCTATTTTTCTGATCAATTTTTGTAGAGGTTTTGTTTGTCGGAATTCTGTTTGCAGGATTTTGACCCAAACCTATGTAAATGCTGACAGAAAAATCATTGAAGGTTATTAAGATCATGTGACAAATTCTGACTTATTTAATATCGATATTAAAACCTTGAAAGTAATATAAATCCTTTCTGCAGTTATTTTTTGTATAGTTCACTAAGTCACTTCTTATCAAATTTAGAGTATACACGTAGATCAAAATATTTTTTTTTTATATCCAGATTTGGCTTAAATAGGTTATTTAATGTTGTTAATTTTAACATATGATTAGTCAAAACTAGTGATACAAACTAAACATTGAACGGATACATATAATATAAATAATTCATAGATTATTATAAACTTCAGTACTGATAAATATCTATAAATTATACTATACGTACTGTATTATTAAATATTAGTTTAAAGTTTTAATAATTTTATAACGATAATGAAATGCATGTAATCTGGTTTTCATTCTTGAAATCAAAAACCGGTAAATATGTAGACCATGTAATTTCTTATTACCAAAACTGGAATTGAACAGTAGTTTTATATAAGCGTTAGATTGGTGCCAAATTTGGCTTAAATACAGTACTGTCAGAATTACAATAATAACTTAAAAACCGGTTTATATTATATAAATTCATTTAATATCGATATTGTATAATTCAAAGAAGATAATCTCTTAGTCAATTGTCACGACCTGTTCGAATTTTCGATCTTTTTTTGAGCATCATGCAAACAAAATAAAATTTAATGCGATTCTATAAAAAGATTGTTAGTATTAAGAAGCCACATGATAATCAGTACTAGATATAACAGTATAATTATGATTGGACTCTATTTTATTGAAATATGAATTAAAAGTTTATCTTACAAATCTATTGACTGACCCTTAATGCAGCACTTCTTTTTGTAATTATCTTGACAAAGTAAAACTTCATGCGACATTGTCGAAATAGATTATTGACACACTTGAGTTATTTTATTTTTAATATCTTCATATAAATTAATCAATCTATTAGATATTACTGAAACATGCCAGAAAGATCTTGAAGTATAAAAGCCACGTGATATACTGTATATATAGTATAGTATATCCATACCAGACATGATCCGAAAATTTGACTTAAATGCGACATAATTAATATTATAATACTGCTTGATATCGACATTGTATAATTTAAAAGAGATAATTTTAGTCAATTGACATAATTTTGGACTTTTTTTAGAGCATTACTATAAACCAAATAAAATTTCACATGATTCTAACAGAAGATTGTTAGCATTAAAAAGCCACATAATTATGCAAATCCATATCAGACATAATCAGCACCAGATATACTGTAATTGAAACATGCAATTATGAAGCCTGAAAAGTTTATCTTATATGAGATTTAGTCAAAATTATCAAGTCTATTGACTGACTCCTTATGCAGTTCATCCATTGAATTCCTCCCGCTTTAAGAAATATAATTCACACGTTTTACACGATTTTTATCATTGGAATTTTTAAATAAAAAAAAAAAAGAACTATGAATCAGAAAACTCATATATACCCACGATTTTTCCTTAAACAAAGACTTTAATCGTCGTAAATCAATCAATTACAATATGACTCCTCAATAGTGGCATTTCTATTTTTGATTGCTGTACTTGCAGTCCATATTTAGATATGGAATACAATTAACTGATAAACAAAATCAAAAAATAACTTTCCACGAACAGAATAGACAAATAGCTTGCCATTACTCATGGGAAAATATTACAGATTACTACCTACATGTTTTAAGGAATCCTCAAATCGAGGAAATTAATACTCAGGATATAAATTTCCAATCCAATATCGACAATAGCCAAAACTCTCAACAAATTGAGAATCAACTTATCCAGCATAATTGATCCAATATCAATAACCAAAACTCTCAACAAAACAACTTACAAAATGATTACTCACAACAAATTGTTTCCCAAAATCAAGTACTAATTATGATGATGCAAAATTTATCTAATAATATTTATACTATTCAAGATACTCTTCAAATTATGCTTCATTCTCAAAATACACTTTAGCACCATAACAATGATACTAGTACTCTTCTCAGTCACCAACTAGTGGTGTTAACAATTCTCAAAATACACTTCAACCTTCAGATTCCCCAATCAATACAACTCTTAATCAACGTCAAGAATCAATCCATCAAATCAATATTTGTGATTCTTGCAAGAGGAGAAATTTTCCTGATAAAGATCTATCTTCGAGCATCAACCAAATTAATATCTGTGATTCTTGCATAAAGAGCAATTTTCCTAATCAACCAAATTTATCTGTTTCTTAAATTAATAATCAGATAATTTCCCATAATTTTACTAATCAAAATTTAACTTCTAATCAAGAAACAACACAGATCAAAATATTTCAAATTGTACCAATGGCATAAATATCAACTCTTTCTCGTGGAAACTTGGATATATTATCATCTTACCTTTTTAGTGTTAGAAATTATTTTATTAATCATCAAACAATTATCGATCGTATCTGTATACGAACAAATCGGAGCATTGTTCTTTACTATAAAAATATATTTAGATCAATTCGTTAAAATTTTGGGCCCTACTATACTTGGTGGCATCGTGAATTGGATCATGAAACATAAAAAATTAATAGCATCTTTTCATATAAACGTAGTTAAATAGCATGCATTTTTAGTAGCATATTTACTCTCTTTTTTGATCTTCTCTTTTTTTTTTTGATTTCAGTTAAAGCCAACCCTTTTAATTAGATTTTGTTCATTTCATGTCCTTTTATTAGAAATGATTTTTTTTACATAGCGATTTTATAATTAGCTTTTAGATGATAAAAACTATGTTTACTTTGAAGGCTGTTAAAGACATGAAATTTGGCACATTATCACAATAAAATGTCGCGCACTATTTTCATAATAAATTCTGAGCTTTTAAGAATGTGAAATTATGTCATAATTATGTATTGTCAAGTAGTGTGCAAATCATAATAACCTTTATTGACGCTAAGTAAAAAAATTATGAAAATTATTGTTCCTAGGAATATTGATTTTTTTGTGAAAATAATAGAGCATTAGCAAAATAAAAAATGTTGACGTTTTTAACAAAAGAAAGAGAATTTTTCTAGTTTACTGAGTTTATAAAATTGCCCTTTACTAATAAGAAAATCTATTACAATTAGCATCACCTATTTTCCTTCTTTGCATAGTAAATTAATACTATAAGAAAATTTTCACAATTTTAGTATCTTTGATTACTTCTCATTTATTCGCATAATAATTTGTATATGATTGTACTTAAATAGAATAAAAAAACTAGGTATATTTTTCATAAGTTTAGCATTTTCTAATTATAAAAAAATTAAATACCTATTCTTTCATTTACGTATATTGTAAAAATAAGTAATAATATATATATATATTCGTTATATGTTTTAGGCTGTTATTTGTTTTTGGCCAAAATTAAATTAATTTGGGTCATTCACCTAACACGTTATATATAAATACTACATTCGAAAGATAACATAAACAGATGGCTTAATTCTAAACCCAACTGACAGCAAAACAGTTGACTGTGTGACAATTTAAATATATAAATTATACTAGAAAAAATACCAATAACTCTTGTTATTAAAACGAGTTTAATTCTCATATACAGTATTTATTTAATTATTTATATATATAAATTTATTTGGCTTGTTAAAAACAAGTTCTTATCACTAATGATAACAATAGATCTTCAAATAGCGAATGCTATATAAAATGCATCGACCTCTTTACTAAGGTAAATTCTTTTCACATCATATTCATTTTTCTTTTTCTGTATCCTAGAGTTTAAAGATAAAAATAAAAAGCTGGTAAACACCTTTAAATGGATCCGAGATGTTTTGATTGCAGATGTCTGTATGTCTCAAATTTTCTTTCAGAAATTAACATGAGATTAGTTTTTGAGGTAAACTTTAATTTAATAAATTTGCTGCTACACCCGATTTTTCATTTACACGTTTTTTTTATATTAGATTTATGGTGATGTCCAAAAAATTCTATCTGAAAATGATCATTTTATTGTAATTTACTATGATACCTGCGCTGCTCATGAAGCTAAAAAATCAATAAATAGCATAAATATTTGGGTATCTTAAATCTGTTGATTTAAAATTCTTTTTATATAATTCTATAAATCCCTCATTTGTTGTTTATTTATTTATAATTAGGGTGTTCAAATCCATGTAGACTTCAAACAACATCAAATAAATAGTTTGGACCTAGCGCTAAAAAATAGATCTGAAGTTATTCCTCATTTTCACCCTAAATATATTATCGTGATCTCATCTGGTGCGGTGTGGTTTCAAGAGATACTCTACCAGAGTACACACCACACCACCTCGGAGCACTTCATTAACATCCCTAGTTTTATACCAACCAAGAATTATTCAAATAAATGATATCCAAACTATGATTAGAGATTGGAACTGCCTGATCGTTTAAACGTGTTAACCGTTTAATCTAGCAGTATTAATATAATTTTGGCTCAAGACCAACATAATTATGCCTGAACATTTTTTATGTGGTTAGACCTTATTATAGCACAGAGCTTAGGGTCTGGTTTTGCCTTTACCAGAAGCCTCACTCTTCACAGGAGCTTTGAAGTTTTGTCTTGTAGAAGTTTTGACTTTCGCAAGTTTCATGGAAGGCTTAGAGGTTTCGGCTTTCGCAAAGTTTCATCTTTTGGGAGTAAGTTTCGACTTTCGTCATTTCACCAAAATAATTTCGTCAAGCAACACTATGTAGTTCTTAATTTCAGGGTACTCAATATCAGAACAGTGAAAAAGATAAAATATTAAGATATTTATCAACAGGATCACTAATAGAGAAGAAAATAATGTTTTTAGGTGTAATGGTCACAAATTCCTCTTGGTCATAAACAGTGATAAACATTTGTTCAATATGTTTATATAATCTCTTCGGAATTTTATAAAGTGCCTGTTGTTTGTTGAAGATGCTTATAGATGACTTTTTCTCCAACGCTGAAAAAGAGCGGTCAATTTCGGCAATGCTAATTTATACAAAAATATCAAAATAAGTTGAATTCATATCTTGTTTCAATAAGAGATAAATATGCAGACAAACCTGTAACTAATCTTAAGTGTGGAACAATTCATATTATTTAGAGTTTGAGCTCCAGGATTAAAAATAAATGCACGAGATACTAAATTATTATTATTCATAAAAAGTTTAACACCCATCACAGTTTTCAAAGTTTCTTTGTTTTCTTGAGTGAAAAATTCATCACATGTTACTAAAATGCAAAAGTTTTGTTTTTTAAAGTCTTCGGAAATCTGGATTTTAATTGGCTTGCTATAATTATTGCTGTTAATTTTATCTACAACTTCGTGGCCACTATATTTAAATTCAATTTCAGAACCATAGGTAAAATCGATCGGATAACCAATAACCATCCAAAAAATTTTTAGTGTACATGGACTTTTACCTCCTTTAATTCTATGGATTAAAAGTGAAACTTTATTTCTTTTTTCATGAACCACTCAAACAGAAAACGCATCTTGTTTGTTCTCACTTGTAATAGAAGGGAAAATTTGACAATTATGAAGTATAGGTTCTAAATCTTTGCACACATTTAAATTATAGTGGATATATTGTTCATTAGGTGAAAATGGGATAGTATTGATATTTTTATATAGAATTCTTTTTCCAAGGATTTTTTTAACAACTTTTTTATAGATGTTTGTATGTTTTAGGATATTAAAAATTGGCTCTACATCATAATCAACTACTTTCCAATTCTTCCAATCGTTCAATGATTCTTCTCACAATTTTGGATTTTAGTTGTTATATTTCTTTACATCTTCTCCATATGATACAATTTTGTCATACTCTTTTCTATTTTTATTATTTTCTCCATGTTTATTTTGATGGCTTATATTTAATTCCATGTTAGCTACGTCAGAATCAATCGTAGTTTTAAAAGAAGCCGTTCCTGACTTTTGTCTGCTAAATTCTAACTTAGTTATTCTAATAGTTTTCGTTAACCTCCCACCGAAGTATAATTTTGTCGCGTAATATTCTCCAAATTTCTTGGTAAGCTCGTGGATGCTTAAAGTGTCATTATTTAAAGCTTCATTTATTCTATTTTCCAAATTGGTTACACCTTTAATTCTTAAATTCACAGCTGCCTTTATATAAAGTGCGATATCATAAGTGGAAGAATAATTATTATAATATTCATTTTGATAGTCGTTACTTAATAAGACACCAGCAGAAGCAGTGATAGGTGACCATGGGAACCTTGGCATTTTGGCATTTAGGTTGATTTGATGTTTTCTGTCCTTCAATCTTTCATAAACTTTTCCATTTTCATATAATAAATGTTTCCGTTGATTAATAATTTCGACGTATTTGCATTAGTGGATTATTTTCAATAGGGTTAGGTAAACTAGGGTACGCAGCTGGGATAGAACATACTATAGACACCGGAGAATCTAGGCCAATCAAACAATCCGCATATCGAATCTCCCCAGACGACCAAGACTTTCTTAACAAAGAAATAAAGAATTTATTGAATAATGGACTCATATACACGTTGAAGAGTGCCTGGACTGCTCCCATAGTAATTGTACCCAAGAAGAATGGAAAATCCCGATTATGCGTGGATTATAGGAAGCTCAATGCTGTAACTAAAAAGGATGTCTACCCCCTACTATGCATTGACGACCTGCTAGACCTGTTTAACAAGTCGAAATAGTTCTCTAGCCTCGATTTGGCCAGTGGGTACTGGCAAATCCCAATGAAGCCGGAAGACCAAGAAAAGACTGCATTTGTCATGAAGCAAGGGGTCTATGCCTTTAGAGTCATGCTCTTTGGCTTGTGCAATGCACCTGCCACTTTCCAGCGTATCATGAATGACTTATTACATGAATTCATTGGGCAATATGTTGCAGTATACCTGGACGACATAATTATATACTCCGAGACTATCAGAACCACCTAACTCACCTCAGGAAGGTCCTCGACAAAATAAAGGCAGCCGGGTTAAAGCTGAACCCTGAAAAATGTGAACTATTCAAGGACAATATTAGTTTCCTGGGACATAATGTGGGAAAAGAAGGTATCAAGCCAGACGAAACTAAAGTGGCCAAAGTTAAAGAATTTCCTATTCCCGGTAATCTACGGCAACTTAGGGGCTTTATAGGCCTTGCCTCTTACTACAGGCAGTTTATAAAAGGCTTTGCTACTATAGCAAAACCACTACATAAACTGTTAGAAAAGGGCGTGTCATATGAATGGAGTATAGAACAAGACCAAGCCTTCAATTTGCTAAAAACCCACCTCACCACAGCTCCCGTTCTTAGATACCCTGACTTCCAAAAACCATTCTACCTTTATACTGATACATCAGGTGTCGGGCTTGGTGCACTACTGGCCCAAAAAGATGAAAATAGAAAAGAATATGCTATTGCATACGCCAGCAAGAGCTTGACACGTCCCGAAAGAAATTATACCACGCCAGAATTGGAATGTTATGCAATAGTTTGGGCTGTGGAGTACTTCCACCATTACTTGGGTTACCGGCCTTTCACTATTGTTACAGACCACTCTGCCCTAAAATGGCTTCAAACCATCGCACTAAAAGGAAGAAGGGCTCGCTGGATTCAATGTCTCCAGCCATACAACTTCAATATAGTGCATAGAGCCAGGAGAGTACATAATAATGCCGACGCATTATCAAGAATGGCAGAAGAATTGCCAAGAACGCGAGAAGAAAATAAGGCAATTACCGATTATCAAAAAGCAGCTGATATGAAGAATGCTGCTGAAAAAGAGCAAGGTAAACCTACCCAAGAGTACCCGGAGGCACAAACTTCTGAATTAGGTGAAGAAGTTGAGATTTTTCGAGCTATTGCTCAGGAATACTTTTATGAAGACTCTGACGAAAAAATGGAAATTATCACTTGGGAAAATAATACCACTGAGCCGATATGGTGGGAAAATGAGAATGAATTAATGAATGCCGACGAATATATGACCCAAGAGTGGGAAGAAGAACTCATCAATAGTGAGTTAGAACGAGCAATAAACTACCAAAACCTCTTACTCGAGTTGGACCGGGAAGCTCATAGGGAAATTACCTGATCAACCGAAAATGGGTACCAAAATGAGATAACTAATAACTATTACCTTGAAAACGAACTACAACCCATGAACTGTGATGAAGCATATCTAATCAATATTCCACAGTGGGGAGAGGCCGCTGAAGGACTTGAATTCGAAGGTAGCAGTGATGAGGAATATGAAGATACTGGATATGGCTGCTATCAAAGCCATTTAGGACATGACCACTGTTGGTGGAATACCAATGAAGATATGGACTTCTATACAAATTTTAGCCCAGGAGACTGGGAAAAATATCAATCACCCGACAGCCATAATGATTGGGAAAGCTGTGATTCACAATGAGTATGGTGCCTATTTCCTTAGGGCCGCCAGCCATATTTATTATTTGTTTGAGCCCTTTGGGCTCGAACAAATCTATCGAACCCGCCACACCCGAATTTCCAAGGTTGCATCCTTGAGCAAGGACCAATTTGATGATCTAAGCCAAGGAGAGCTTGTGTTACAAGCTTTCTTTGGTGAGGGAGAGTTGTAAGGGTCAAATTTGACGCAGCATAACCTGAACTTGGCCTGTGCCACTATTTTTTTTTATTATTTTATTACTATTACGTAGCATTTTTCTATATTTGTATATTCTATTATTAGTGTATCTTTGCTAT